CTCAGCATTCTGAGTGCTACTATATCAGTGATCTAGTAACCCTTTAAACCTTGTTTTTGGTAGCAGTATTGGGAACATATGCCGCCGACAGCACTGACGGCCTCTCCTCAGCTCTGAAGTGGATGTGGAACTCCACAGCTCCAATATTCAGTTGACCCCCAGTCAACATAAAGCAGGAGGAGGCTGAGGATCTGAGCCAAAAGCAGCCTGCATACCGGCACCCCCTGAATAATGAGAGGTCAACACCAATCTTCTATACCCCTTCATCTTTCAGAAGCAGAGGCCTGCCAGGCTTGGCTTACAGTTGGATCTCACTGGTGTCTTCCACAAATGTGTCAACAGTGCCTGATTCCAGTTTCCCAACACTGTCTCCCACCACAACCACTTTTACACATGGAATGCTACTTGTACTAGCTTTGCCTTCCTATGAGGCTTGGTCTATGCCCCCTATATGGGTCGGAGGTTGAACCCCAGCAACCCTTATGACATTCATATACCCCCTCTTGAGTCCAAGGTATTTCAGCCTTTAAAATCTCAAGATTCAATTGTCAGCCAATCAGATTACCACAGAAAATCTCCATCCTACCTAAGCAGCCCATAACAAACTAAAAAGAACTCAAGGATCCAAGGAGGGGCAACCACAGTTTCAAAGGAACAGCTGTGCCAGTATGACAGCTGTAGACACACTGATACCAAGCAAACATTCCAACCTTCCTAGACACCAACTCCAATCTATAGGTAAGAAGCTCTACAAAGGCTGTGGATAAGACATATGTGGTCACATATTGGATGCCAACTATGTAGATGTCATGAGTGTAGCCAACATTTTATGGGACTGTACTATTATTTCTTGAAACATCAGAAGACACATCAGGAGGTGCCAGGATCCCTATGATCTCAGACTAAGAGTGGACCGACAGATTGGTCCTCTTGCTTCTGGTCAAGGGCATTACAAGGGTCATTCTTTTTCACTAACCCAAGATCCTCCTGCCTCTGGACTAGCAAAAAGCTCTGACCTGGTGTCACTCCCTAGATTCAAATCCAGCTCCACAGAATCCATATTCTTGACCTGAACTTCCACATTTTCTGGAGCTAGGTTATGTACAAAATCAGGAAAGTATTGCTTACTACCAATATGTTCTTGGAAAAGGACGTTGAATACCTTGTTTTATTTCTTCCTCTGGAAAAAAAGTTAAAAAACAGTGCTGGCCTGTTTAGGACATGTTATATGTGCCATCAGAACGTCCCTGGCAGTGACTATCAACATGTCCGGAGTTTCTGTCCCTTCCTACCAGACTTGGATAGAATGCTCTACTACAGGACATAATATCTGCATTCCTTGTAGTCCCAGCAACCAAGCCTTGTGGGGGCGCTAACTGCCATGGGGTAAAAATTTGATCAATGGCAAATGGGTGTTAGAGAGCTAGGCTGAAAGCTTCTGCTTCCTCTCTCTCTCATGAAGTAGTAGATGACATTCTCCCCCAAACAGGGCCTGTAGAGAGACCTTTGTCAGGTCTGTGGTGAACAGTAGCGGTTAACATACCTACCTCTTGAAGGCCACTCATGAGGCAGTGGCCAGCTGGAAATGTGCACCTTGCACTTCCCTGATCTAATTGTATCATCTTGTTCCTATACCTTGGCTTTTAAACCTCCCAGATAAAGTATCAATGTTTATTTACAATCTTATCGTATTGGACTGTGTGACTACATACATAGTTGTAGACACGTTTGTGCTATGGTGTACATGTAGAGGTCAGAGGACGATTTGCTAGAGCCAGTTCTCTCCTTCCACCAAATGGGTCCCAAGGACTGAGCTCTGTATGTGAGTGTGTGGATGCAGCGCTTGTGGAGCCAGAAGATGATGTTTGATCACACAAAGCTAGAGTTACAGGTGGCTGGGTGCTGGGGACTGAACTCTGCAAGAGCAGCAAGCTCTATGCCAGCTCCAAGTGTGTGTGTGTGTGTGTGTGTGTGTGTGTGTGTGTGTGTGTGTTTGTGTGTGTGTGGTGGCCTGGAACTCACACTGATCCTCCTGTTTCGACTCCTGATTGTGGGATTTTGGACATACACAAAGATAAGCATAAATATATTTTATTACACTTAGTTATTTTGTACATGTGTAAATATGGGGACAGGTGTGTGCCAGAGCACACATGTAGAGGTCAGAGGACAGCTTGTGAAAGTCAATTCTCTTCTTTCACCATATGGGTCCCAGGGATTGAATTCAGATCTTCAGGCTTGCCAGAAAACATCTTTACCCACTAAACCATCTTATCACCCCTGTATTTCTTTTCCTTCCTTCCTTCCTTCCTTCCTTCCTTCCTTCCTTCCTTCCTTCCTTCCTTCCTTCCTTCCTTCCTTCTTTCTTTCTTTCTTTCCTTCCTTCCTTCCTTCCATTCTTTTCTTCCTTTTTCCTTTTCCTTTTTTTGAGAAAAGGTCTCCCTATACCTATAACTCACTCTGTAGACCAGACTGGTCTCAGATTCTTAGAGATCTGCCTGCCTCTGCCTCCTGAATGCTAGGATTAAAGATGTGTGTACCATATCAGGCTTGTGGCCCCTCTCTCATTGGTTTAGATGTGGTCTCATCGTGAAGCCCTGACACTCCCTATGTGGGCCAGGCTGGCATTGAACTTGTGGTAATCCTTCTGTATCTGTCTCAGGGTGCTGGGATTACAGGCCTGAACCATTAATACCTAGCTGGAACAAAACATTTTTTTCTCCTTTTTTATTGTGCTAGGAATTAAATTCAGGGCCTTGGTCATTCTGGGCAGGCAAGGACTCTACCATTGAGCTACATTCCTAGCAAGTGCAGACACTTTTGAAAATAGAGATAAAATTGAAGTTTTTATATAAAAGGCATAATTGCTGTTTAAACCGTGATCAAGCCGTTTTTGTTTGAGTTTGGTTTTGTTGCTGCTGTTTTCGTTTTTACCATGCTGGGGAACTGAGGTTCTAGTGGTTTTATTTTATTTTATTTTATTTTATTTTATTTTATTTTATTTTATT